TCAAGTCCATCTGGTGGGGTCTCCTCAGCTTCCTTGATCAAGAGGCCAGATGACCCACCACCATTACAGGACATTTTGCGCGATGCTCATCAAAAATTTTTATTCTTTAAATTTTCTATAGAAAGCATGGGTTACTTTTTTCATAAAGAAAAGGTTGCTTAATAAACATCACCAACTTACTGCCTTTGCTGTTAGACATATTTATCTGAACAATATTCAAAGTTTTTTTTCTATACTGTTAGTTCTCCATTAGTTCATGTTTCCTGAAATGTCTTCTAAATATTCAAAATGAAAAATGAAACATGACTAACTTATATCACTATTTTTAATGTTTCTGTCATGCCAAATAGTCATTAGATTATTTTTTAAATCAAAAGGATTGCCTGCCCATATACATTAATATTTTTAGACTTTTTAATATCCATTTAGCCTTCATTAATGACTTTTACACTTGATAGCTAATTTAAAATAATATTCAAATTGGGAAACCATATGCATTTATATATATATAATATATATGAGATAGATAGATGATAGAGAAAGAGAGAGAAGGAGAGAGAGAGAGAAGGAGACAGAGAACACCTTATGATCCCAGCACATGCCAGACATTCTTCTAAGTATTTAAAAATTTTTATTTATTTATTTATTTTTAAACAGGGTATCACTATGTAGCCGGATGAACTTGAACTCACAGAACCTACCTGCCTTTGCCTACTGAGTGCTGTAATTAAAAGTGTGCACCACCATGCCCAACTCATTTTTAAATTAAAATGAGCCAGTCATTATATATTTTGTGTGTGTGCACGTGTGTGCATGTATGTGTGTGCATACATATTATGGCACCGGTGTGGAGGTCAGAGGACAACTTACCAGTCAGTTTTCTCTTTCCACCACGTTTGTCTAAGCACTTAGGTTATCAGTCTTGGTAGAAGTGCCTTTACCTTCTGATCCTCTTAACCTCACCAGTCCTTGTTGACTATTTTGTGTATTGTAAGAGATCACAAGCCACTTTGAAAATACTTAACTTTAAATCAAGAATAAGAGAGGATACTAATGATTTAATGAATATCTCTTAGTGACTTAATCAGTAAATCATCAAGAAGTCATCGAGAAACACTGAAACAGCAAGCTGTGCACTGTCCAACGTGACCACAGATAAGGAGCTCGTGTTGTCATGGGAATACCAAAAGTGGAGAAGTGTGGACCATTTGGTCAGTCATCTACCGTCTTGTGACTTGAGGCTGAATTCCATGAAAGTGTGCTCCATTGTGCCCTGTCTTTTCCTGAGGGTGATGCTGCATAGCCCGCGCTGGCGGGCCGGTGTGAAAATCATGCTTACAATCATGCATCACTATCAGACCGATTCTTACCTCTTTCTTTACTTCCTCTTCATCTTCCAGTGTCAGGGCGGCCAGTTGCTTAGCTCTCTGCTCCATCAGATTCACATAACGGATCGGGTTTGACAGAGCTTCTATCACATCTAAACAGGGAGGAGGCATTCTAGATCAAGGGTTCTGGGATGCTGACTACCCATCATCCATTCATACAAGTGTGCATCGGTGCTTTCATCCACACAGCACTGTTTATATCCATCCCTGCAATTCTCCACTCAGCTATCCACATTTTACAAATATTCAAGGGTCAGAACTTTGCTGAAATCTCAGAGAAACCAAAGTTACTGAGTTCTAAAAGTCAAATGATATGCATTTCAAATCAGGATTCTCCAAACTGGAGATTCTTTGGCTTCCCTTCGAGGACTTTATCTATTCCAGAAATGGCTTACGTACACATACTTGCTTGTTTGCTTCAGCTAGTGTTTCAAGAATGGAAACATTTCGCATATAGAGTACGCTATCTAGCCTATCGGAGCAACCCAAGGATGTGGCAGTTTGGGTCTCCTTTGCATCACTATGGATAGGCAGATATGACAGCCATCTTTGGACAAGGAATGTGCGTTCCACATTTGTCACAGACTCCACCACTTCCCTGCCTTGCTCTCAGGCTTTTTGGTAATCTAAACACTTAAATCTGTGATTCTCAGATGACTTAGGTGATCCCAGATGGCAATGTTTACCTGCATACGTGTCTGGTACATAGTCTTTCACCTCTATGTAGACAAAGACAGCTGGCAGCATCAGAGGCTGGTTCCTCTCATTCCGCAGACAGATGTAGTGATAGCCTGGGGTGAAAATGATACGGCCTGTCAGTTTGTTATATCCACTGACACCTGGGTGTTGGAAGTGCTTATTGTAGGTGACTCTGAGTGACAAGCGGGTCACTTTTTTCTCATTGTAATTACATGGTTCTTAGTGATAAGTATTATTTTCTCAACAGGCAGGAAAACATTGCTGATTCTGATTTTTCTTCTAACTATATTTTTCCCCACAAAGAGAATTCAAAACTGTAGGTCACAGTTTTTGAATTACTGGTCCAAATTTCCCCCTACAATAGTATCATACTGTGATTTCTTGACCGGGGCTCTGTCTTGTCCAATGGGACATCAGTGATATTGGGACAGGCAGAGGCCGAATGCATACACGCAGAACTAGGGGCGTTTCTATGCCAGTGGTTTCCCAAGGCGGGGTCCTGTATTTTGGGTGCTGCTGACCCCAAATGAACACACATGGAAAAGATCTAAACCTAACTGGCACCCTGAAGCACAGCTGTGCTACTGAGCCCAGGCTAGACCAGGTAGTTCTTTTGCTGTGGCTGATGTGTTTTGTCTCCCAGGTTCCTGTGTTGGAGGCTTGCTCCCCAGTGTGATGATGGGAGAAATGGTGGGATTCTTAAGAGATTGGTGCTCCTGTCCTGGGGTCATTGGCATTGCCTTCAGGACACATTAGGGTAGCTCTCCTAGGACCCATAGTTAGTTGATTTAATGTAATTTAATTACTTTCCTTGTTTTTCATGGTTCTGGGAATTGAATCTAGAGCTTTGCACATTCTAGGCAAGTGTTCTACCACTAAGCAGTTTCACCAGACTTCTTTTCACTTTTTTTTAGTTGCCCAGACTGGCTTTGAACTTGTGATCATCCTGTTGTAGCCTCCTGATTAGTTGGGCTACAGGCCTGGGCCACTAGGTCTTGTTAGAGTTAGTTCTTGAGGGGTTTTCATGAGAAGACTTGCTCTCTGGATCCTGTTTGGTACGGTGGCTTCCCCACCCTCATCTGCTAGGATGTTCCCAAAGACAGGCCCTTACAGAGGAAATGCTGATCAAGCCATCTGATCTTGGACCCATAGCCTCTAAAATGTGAGTAAAACAAACTTCTTTTCTTCATAAAGTAGCCTGCCTCCAGTATTTTCATTACAATCACAAAAAGGAAACTAACACACAGTGTCAACCCACAAACTCATGAATCAGGAACACAAATATTTGTCTGTTTGCTTTTAGACAGCTTGTTACACAAAATTATTGTAGCCAAAGTACAACATGTGTTAATATGCACATCACAAAATAATATATCTTTAATCTCAGCACTCAGGAGGTAGAGGCTGGTGGATCTCTGTGAGAGGATGGCCAGCTTGGTCTACCTAGTAAGCTCTAGGCAAGCTGAGGCTACAGGGAGACCCTGTCTCAAAAAACAAACAAATAAAAAGGCAAAATGCAAAACTACCAGATTTAAGTAAATAATCGTATAGCCTTTGTTATAAAGCAAAATCACAAAGCATCAGTAGTTCCAAAATCATTCTTTAATGATAAAGTATCTCAATACGCTATCATACCTGGCCGAATGGCTTGTACTGGCAAGATCCGGTGGCCAATAAATTTGCCTCCCTCTTCGTATGCTGCTATCCTCAAACAGGCCAGAGAAGGCAGCACTACCTGTCGAGCAAGAAGAGCGCTGGTTACAAGAACGGACAGCCGGAGCTAGAAGGGCGTTACAGATGCAGCCCCTGCCTTTACAAAGCCAGGTAGAAGTTTCACTCAGCTAAGTTAAGCAAAAAGTTAAGTGGCTGCTCTAGGAGTTAAATTTTAGGAGGAAAAGGCATGTTACCAGAAATAGGGCTTCATCTATGTGTATCCCCTTGCCCCAGAGAAGCAATTATGTGTTTGTCTAAAACATAGGCTACTTTCTTTTAACATGCACACTGTCAATGTGAAAATGAACACAGGGGTCTTGCCATTATGTTAGGTGAGAATTTGGGTTTTTAAAAGGAGTGACTTTTATAAACAAAACTAAAACCACAGCTTTTGTTAAGCCTTAGAAATACAATTGCTTTATAAACTTGTAAATCTCCCCCCACAATTAATCAAGTAATTGCTTATTCTTCCTGTGTTTAAAACACCTGGAAAACAGCTGCATCTCACATCAAGCACTGGAGACTCACCTTCTTGAACACAATCGGTTCTTCTTCCCAGACAGGATTTACAGCATTCCCTTGGGACGTCTTGGTCTTAAATGCTTTCCTCCTTGTGTCCACGGGCAAACCAAACATATCCACCTCCACATAAGTCCCAACTTTCTTATCAGAAAGAAACTGCCCTGAAATGATCTAGAAAGCAATCAAAAAGGAAGTCTTGATAAATGAGACAACCCCAAGAAGGCACAAATGCTGGTGAGTGTGAAGTAGAAGCAATTGTAGAGCCATCATCCTTTCCAGTTAGAGTTGATGGCGAGACTGAGACTGAGGGGCAACGAGAGAGAGACGTATAAGAGGACTAAATGAACAAGCATCCCTAGAAGCCACCAAGCCATCATCACCTCCTTCCTCACCCAGTTAGCCATCTGAACAATTATTGGTCTTCTTTTTCTAGCTACAGAATGAACCAATATTGTGGAGGTAGAAGAAGTCTTAAGACCACATATTCCTGAAGTGTCTCCCATGCCTTCCTCTGTTTGTAACCCAACTGACAGTATCTGAGGGACTAGTCACCTGTCATAAAGGTTAAAGGACACATTAACTTAGGACCGACTTGGAACTGTATTGGCGGCTAACTGGGCAAGGACAGAGGTAATGATACACTGGTTTTGGTGAGCACAGACCTTCTACCAACCGCTGCTGTTTGAGTTTCTACCTCCTAGCAGGCTTCCTACAATGTGTTTGAAGCTTTTGAGTGAGATCAGTTTCCTAGGATTCATATGCCCTGAGGTTTTTGGATGCTCGTGTCTTTTGATGAAAGCAAAGTCCTTAAGTAACCACGACCCAAAGCCACAGTATTGACATCACTCAGATAGGATAGTGGATCACAGTGTTAGCCTGTAGGTCTGGAACTATCAAGTCTGTGCCAGAAGAGCAAAACAAAGGCATGACAGGACAGACAGGAGCCCGATCCGGTTCTAATGGTGATGATGAAGGCAGAAGGGACTCCAATGGCCTTACTGTCAGCAGAAGCCACAGGGCACATCTGTTAGGTCTTCCCTTCATCTGGATTTTCCTGATCTAGGTCATGATTTTATAATTGTTTCTGCTGTCACAGTAGAATTTTCAAGACAAAAATCAGTAAGCAAGAAATCATGTAGGAAATAAGAATCTAAATAAGGCCACAATACTACTTATTTGACTGAATTAGGACAATTGACAGGAATTCTAAAAACAATATTCTGTTACTACACGAGTGTGTCTTAATCACTCTTGACAGGAATTAAACTGAACATCATTTACTGAAAACATTTTTTTTTTTTGAGACAAGGAATCACTGTGTCGACCTAGCTGATCTGGAACTTGCTGTGTACACCAGGTTGATCTCAAACTCAAAGAGATTCACCTGCCTCTGCCTCCCCAGTGCTAGGAATAAAGGTGTGTGCCATTATGCCTGGCTGAAAGCAATTTCTCAAAGTAAATATAATTATGCAGCACTAATTCTGCCAACTTTATTCAGTTTGAAATAACTTTAAAAGATAGAAGACATTTCACTGAAATTTTATTTTTGAAACCGGTGCAAAGTGACGCTTTGTGATACCAACCAACTGAATAGCAATGTTAGACATAGTGACACAGATCCGTCATCCCAGCACTCAGGGGGTAGAGTCAGGGGTACTGAGAGTTACAAAGTGAGAAACTCCTTCAAAAGCAAGAGCTAGGGATATAGGGCAGGTGTAAAGCACTTCCTTAGCAGAGGCAAGGCCTTGGGTTTGATCTCCAACATGGAAAAGTGTTTTGAAAGAAGAGAACTGCATAGGTTAGATAGAAACTAAACTGTTAGAGGACCATTTGGATACAGGTTTTCAAATGACTTTGTTAAATAAAGATCAGTCTGAAAATTGTGCATATGTTTAATTTTTAGAATTTTGTTGGTCCTACAGTTATTTAGCAAAGCACAAAAAAATGCAACTTTTAACTTTTTATAACATTCTAGCTTCAACACTATTTACCGAATCTATGGAAATATCGGTAAAAGTGGAAAACCCTTTTCATAATATTAAAATACTTCATCACATGGGATAAAATACTTCTTGAAAGCTAAAAAATAAAAATCTCCTGTTACTTCTATTTCAGAGCCTGAAGAAAATGATTTGAAATTAATTTTCAGGATCAGATTCATATTTAATAAAGCAACCCTTTAAGATTATTAAAATGATTTTTAAAATCCCCGAATATCTCTGGTAGATTAAAAAACATGCTACATAATTTGAAAGCTTTTGTTCAATAGTTAATAACTTAGAATTAATGGGAACTGGAGGATGGGAGACGGAAAGACCTGATAACAGGTGGCTGCCTCTCCTGTGCATTTCCCAGTGGGATATTTACACCAAAAACGAGAATTGGCCACAGGGAGTCACAGTGCTTCATTTGATTGAGTTAGGCTCTGTTTTCTCTCATCCTGAGAATGAGGGTGAACTCCTTATCTCATCCTTGTGGTCTGGAAAATGTTCAAATGTAGATCTGATCCTTAAAAGGAAAAATGTATGAAGAAGGCTTCACTAGCTACTAAACTCTTAATGCAAAGGGAACATATGAAACTCTTCTCAGTGGTGGGTTTGTGACGGGGGAGGCGGGTGTATATACCTTAACGGACAAAGTGTTGGCCACTATCCCATCTACGATGCCTTCTGTAAATGGATCAAAATGCTTGTCCGGCCTCCTCATGAACTCTGGCTTTAGTCTGTAGCCGCTCTTCCCGTTGTACTCGTACATCCCCATGTTTATTTGCATGGCCAGGTCTGTTACAAAAACACCTCAGTGTGAATGCATTTGTGTTTGCAGCACTAAAGTAAAATTATAAAGTGAGATTATATAATACCACAGTCTACTTTCCTGACGGTTCACACCTTTTTATTTTTTACAAAGGAAACACTTACACGTTGTAACAATTACAGACACAAAGAAGCAAAATCTGCTGTAATCTCCAAATCCAGAGAAAACATTGCCAATAGGCTGTGTTTGTCCACATTAAATATAATTTATGTCCATTTCCTTAAGAATTTTTCTGCCTTAATTTAGACAGTCGTATAAAAGGAAATTCCTTTGAATACAAATATTTGAGTTGATTTTTACCCAGTTCCCTCTTTGGTCACATTCATTTTTTTTTTTTTTTCCCTGAACTGTTACCATGTTTCATTTGGTGAAAACATAAGTGTTTCAGTGGACATCATTATAATGAAATCTCTGAAGACTTCATCAAATCCAGTTTTTCATGGGAAGAGTGGAATTTCTGAGTCAAAAAGTAGGCACATTAGCTGGGTCTGGTGGTGCTCACCCTTGATCCCAGCACTCAGGAGGCAGAGGTAGGCAGATCTCTGTGAGATGGAGGCCAACCTGGTCTACATAGTGAGTTCCAGGCCAGCTGGGGCTACAGAGAGACCTGGTCTCAAAACAAACACCACCACCACCAAAAAATATGCACATTAGAAAAGCATTTTCTTTTCTCTTGCTAACTTGCACTCCGGACAGTTTAAATTAATGTATACGCCCTTAAACCATTTTAGAGAATTTTGTGTTTTTGGTTTTTTTTTGTTTTTTGTTTTTCTTTGGTCTTTTTGAGACAGGGTCTGGCCTGGAACTCACTCTGTAGACCAGGCTGGCCTCGATCTCACAGAAATTCACCTGCCTCTGCCTACCGAGCGCTGGGATTAAAAGTGTGTGCCACCACGCCCAGACAATTTTAGGGAATTATTTTAAGGACTGACTTCTACATACTTCACAGCACAGGGCGCTCTCATTATTGTTTACTAATTTATAAGAAAAATACTTTCAATATGAATTTCTGTGATTAATTACAACTACTAACTAATTACTCATTAACTCTTTTCCAATGGACAAAAGTTACTGGCCATTTTTTTTTCTAACAATCAGTGTATTAAATTTATTTTATTTTAGGGGTTAAAAGGAATACTTCTTAGGGCCTGGGAGCCAGCTCATTGGTAGAGTATTTGCCTACCATGTGCCAAAACTTGGCTTTGATCCACAGACTGAAAAACAAAAACAAACAAAATAAAACAAAACAAAAGAAGATCTTCAATCCTAAGGAATCTAGGAGCTTCCAGCTGTTCCAGAACATCTGTGATGGATTTATTTTTACTAATCAGAACAATAAAGAGGTGGTGACAGGATTGTTTCAGAGTTCTATGTAACAATTTTTAGAGCAGGGAAAATATATGAAAAGTTCTCAATTACTTAATTAAAATATTATAATTATGATACCAAAATTGGACAAGAAGAAAATAACAGACACAATACTTAAAATGACTTTACATCCATGCTCAGATGCTACGGAGCTCAGAAAGTAACTGACTGTGACTAGTAATAATCAGATATATAGAGATTAGAAATGCATATGCATCTTAGTGTCAGTTGTATTAAAAATGATTTTTTCTGTACAAAACTGTGTATTTTAATAACGAAATGGAGTTTTTTTCAAAGTTTAAAACCTCATTTAATATTATGTCTTATAGGGTTTATACAGAGTACAATATTATATAACTGTATTAACTCAACTGTAAACCTAATAATTTACAGCCAGTTTTGAAAGAGAAGCATCTTAGCTCTGGAAATTGTTATTGAATATGTCAATGCTGTTGTAATGAAATGCCTCTTCTAATCATTTGGTTATGAAATAAATAATTTAAAAAATAATACTAATTAGCAGATGTGAAAATCATTACCATTGAAAGCTACCTGATGACTTTATACCCATGCTCAGATGCCAAGGAGCTCAGAAATTAACCGAATGTCACTAGTAATAATCAGATATATAGAGATTAGAAACGCATGTGCAAACATCTTAGTGTCAATTGCATTGAAAATGAATTTTTCTGTATGAAACTGTGTATTTTAATAATGAAATGGAGATCTTTTTTAAAGGCTAAAACCTCATTTAATTTTATGTCTTATAGGGTTTATACTGAGTACAATATTGTATAACTGTAACAATTCAACTGTAAACCTAAAAATTTACAGCCAATTTTGAAAAAGATGCATCTTAGATCAGAAAATTGTTATTGAATATGTCAATGCTGTTGTAATGAAATGCTTCTTCTAAGTATGTGGTTATCAAATAAATGATAAACTGCAAAAACAAAAAAAACACAGTTAATTCCAAATGTTTAAGAAATTGTATTATTAAGCAATATCAATTGAACAAAGAAAGTACCAAAAAAAAGAGAGAAAATATTAGGCCCGTCATACTTGAAAACAATTCCAAGTGCTTAAGAAATCACACAACCAAGTCACATGTTCTAAAAAATACAACAAGCACGTAGAGTTCATATAGGAACCAATGTGTATTTACCCCTAGGAGAGCTGGAAAGATAACTGATTGCATTAATTCACAAAAGATTCCACGGACACATGATTGCCCACAATGATGTCCAAGAGGCATTTAATAACACCCAATGAGATTCCTAAAACACTGGGCTAGAGATGTAGCTTAGCAGTAACATGCTTGCTAGTATGGACCAAGTCCTGGGTTGGATCTCCAGCAGTGTGTGCATGCATACACACACACACACACACACACACACACACACACACACACCTCTTAAATGCTATTAGTCCATTAGGAATATATACTTTTTAGGATGTTAAAAACATCTGCTTCAAAATAATAAAAAGTATCCCACTCAGTGGCATGGCAAAACAGCATTTAAATTCCTATCAATCAGTAGCACCAAAATGGAGAGGAAGATACCCAGTATCAACTCTCAGTCTATTTTAGAATCTAGGTCATCGCAAAGAAGGAAGGGAGAGAAATTTGATGTGATAAACTGCTGTGTTATATGTCTGAAGAATCCCACTAAAATAACTGATAATTTATA